TTTTGTTATTTATTTCGAATATATTTTTATTTAAATTAAACATGTGTTTCATCGAGTCTGTTGTCTAAAAGAGCTACCCGTTACACTTCCTTGTATACCGTAGGCACATAAGCTAGCAGACTACCCTGCTATAATCCAAAACCACACTAGCGGTATAGGGAGACTATTATTATTAAATATAATTGTTAACGAATCTTATTAGCTTCGTCCGTATGTGTTTGGAGGCCCTTATGTGGATTCTTCACGAGAAACATGTTCACAGGGAAAAGCTAACAGCCGAGGTAGGGATTCACGCACAATAACTCAAAGACTCGAGTTCAATAACTTCACTATAAAAGCCTTGACTGTAGTCTTTGCGGGTTCTTTTAATACAAGAGCTGCTTCCCAGCTAACAAATTGATGAATTCTGGACACTCGCATAAACAAGCAGGTGGAAATATTAAGCCGCCCCCGCTCTCATTATTTCTACATAGCGAATGATTGTTTGAGATTAGAGGAATCTGGCAAATGTCTACAACCACTTTTAAGTGGTTAGCGACAGTTTCCAATGCAAACAAATGATTCGATTTTGTTCATTCCAATCGACGTTTTAAGACAATTATTATTAGTCAGAAAGCGTTTTACCCAAGACATTTTGAAAATAAACAATTAAATTTCGAAAATACACGACAGCGTTTGTCGCCGACATATTTTTAAACGACAATCAAAACTTTATACAGGATGGAATTTACAATACGTGAATTAAAACTTCACACAATACTATAAATTTGAAAATACTATAATTGACTTTGTAATTTTGGTTTTGTCTGTTTTTAAGAACGTGGAAAACTTACCTATTATCATAGCCCCTATCATATGATCGATCCTTATCCATATCGCCACGTCGATCGGGAGATTTTCGTGAACGGTCGGTACTACGATCTCGTCCACGAACATCTCGTCCTCTATCACGATCTCTTTCAGTGGAGTGTCCCTTCCGGGACGGCGGGACTCGCTCTTCAATTGGCGGAAGAAGACGTTCCACACGATCAGCTAAGTTAAAATAGAGATAAATGATAAATATATAACATTTAAATATTATCCATGGGAAGGGTTATTAATACGCACTTGCCCCACCAAAAAGCTTTTTATTATAATTTAGGCGTAAATATCCGATCACATTTTTAATACACGTGCTAGATTTCTGATATTCAGATTTGTGTTCTCTGCCTATGGACAGAATTGAGAAGACTACGCAATGTATCGATAGGGATTCCCGCTAACTACGCATGGACATGGATAACTTAATATGTAAACTCACCTGAAGGTTTATCTAACCCTCTATCTTCCCTCCTAGTCCTCTCTCTTCTCCTCTGTTCTTCTTCTTTTTTAAGTCGCTCCCGTTCTCTTTGTCTTTCTTGACATCTCGCCAGTGCTTCTTCCCGTTCCTTCTCACGCGCCTCCTCCCTTTCTCTTGCTAGTCGCCGTTCTCTTTCTCTCTCACGTTCTCTTTCCCTATCACGGGAATCACGTTTGGTCGTCTCTTTGCGAGTTGGACCCCTGTCCGTCGATCTGATGTCTTTACCTCTACAATACAGTATAACCAGTTAACTGATAATATAGCAAAACTATACTAAAACTAAGTTAGTCGCATACCTTAAAAGTACACCAAAAATTGAATGAAGTGGAAATAGATAAACGAAATTTAAAAAATTTCTTATTTTGAGCATAATATATTTATATTGACATCTAATATATTTACGTTGATATGAAGAAACTAACGAATGAAAATGCACAATAAAAACATACTGTCTTACCTGCCTCGATCATCCCTCCGATCAGTTCTTCTCTCGTCTTTCATGGGACTCTTGTGATCTCTTCTTCCACCACCCTTACTTCTTCCAGGCGACAACTTTCTATCTTTAGGATGAGCAGAATCGGGTGTATCTCTTTTTCTGATGTCTTTTATCGACCTATTGTCTCGTTTCGGTGATCTTGTTATCTCTTTTTTCTTGTGTTCCTTCTCTTTTTCTCGTTCTCTCTCTTTAGCGCGTTCTTTAGCTCGCTCTCTCTCTTTCTCTCGTTCTCTTTCTCGTTCTTTTTCCTTTTCTCTCTCGCGTTCTCTTTCTTTGTCCTTTTCTTTTTCTCGTTCACGTTCCCTCTCCCGTTCTTTTTCGCGTTCTTTGTCTTTGGATGGTTTTGGCGACGGAGTGCGATGTTTCTCTTTAATACTAGTACGACTAAGAGGACGAGGAGACTTCTCGGAACTCAACTTTTTAGAGCTAGATATGGCTTTGGTTTTTATTGGTGGTGTTTCAGATTTCTTTCGTTGCCGAGTCGGTGAGACTGATTTAGTCTTTATTATTTTACTACCTAAAGAAAGAACAAAACAGTCACATATTATACATTATATAATAACAGTTAAAAATGTAAGGAATCGAGCGCTAATTTTCCAGGTGTTAAGTGTGAAGAACATGTGTCAAAATGTCCAGAAATTTACACATAAATGGTTACATTTAAACCATTTATGTTACATTAAACAAACTGATTTCAAAAATGAATGAGACATGAACTCTGACTGAAGGGTGCTATTTTTTCAAGCTTTTGTGAAGAATAGGATGCTATCAATTGAAGAAGATCCTTAATTCAGACATTTACTTCAATTAAAACTTTGAATGTAACCATTACAAATGAGCCCTGAGATAGTAAGCTAAAGTTACAAAACTCTTCACAAACCTCTCGTAGACTTGACCTATATTATCAGAATGTTGTGGGCTGACGGAACACAAGTTCATGATTTTTACACTAGTTTGTTATCTGGTAACTATGATATTTAGGCCAGGGAAATAAGTAAAAAAAGTACCCTGTTTGTGATACTGAAGCGGCCAGACAAACTACATTTGTTTTGAGTAGTATGCACCTCTGTAACAAAAGCCTATATGTTTTCTGCAGTCGATTTTTTTGGACATAATGAGCTATTAACAACTTAAGGTCAAAAAAACGGTAAATTTTTACTTTTTTGGTCTATCAACAAAAGGTGAAGCATTTCAAACAAATTCAAGAGTAATAAACTTATAAGTCATATAAACACCTTCAAAATAGCTCCTTATTTGTGGCTTAGAAAGTTACACAAGTGAGAAATTTCAGTTTTTTTATAAATATTAATAATTCTTTTAAAAATTTTTTTCTTAGACTGAAAGGAAAAACCCTTTCAGTCACAATGTCCTCCTACGGGGATATATACTTAATAATAATAGTAAGTGTATATATATATATATATATATATATATATATATATTATATATATATATATATATATGTATATATATTAAAAAAGTAGAAGCTTTGAAATCGCAAGACAGATGGGAACTAATGGTGGTAAGTAAAAGATTATATTTTTCATGCACTATTTGTTAAAATAAGAAATAAGCTGTTCTCAAACACTGCATTTGTTGTCAAATTGCATCTGTAATAATGGTTTGTTAAAAAGGCATTAACCTGTTAAAATAAATTGATTATATGCTCTTCTTCATTTATCTGGAATTCTCCCTTTTCTTTAAGACAATTATGCAAACAACAAGCAACCTTTAAGAAACCAACCACAGTGTCAACATTTAATTCAAATGGATTTAAAAAATATCTCTAATAAAAAATATAAAAAATTTCTGAACCAAAATTCTGAAAGAACTAGGTACAATACATTTTGCACTTCTGAGCCATTTATTATATTTTAGTTTTCCTTGACCTTAGGAAACTTTAGGAAACTCCAATAAAAATATGGTGCTTTTTTGTTCTCTCCCTGGTAATAGGTCAGGTCTGGAAATATTCGATTGGTTGCCAACTTTTTAAGATCTACATGTGTATTTAAGGCAAAGTTCCACTAATGTCTTCCCATGTGTCTGCAAATTTTATATAACTAATATAAACATTTATTTCAGGTAAACACTGGAGTATTAGATGGAAAAATCTGAAGGACAAAAAAAAATAAGTTCCAAAAAAATACTCAAATACAGTCAGTCTAATGAGATTTATGGACGATTTTAACTTTAGATGGACAACTGAATCAAATAACGGTATTAGTCAGACTGAAGAAACTAAGGTAGTAGTAAACTCAACTTACGGAATCGGTAGTTTGTGAGTCCTACCGGAAAATAATGTTTCTTGCAAGAAGAAAACCTAAGAATAAGTAACAACCGAATGATGATAAGAAGATCGTGAAACACCTAAAAATTAAAAACAAGCAAAAGAAACAGAGAACAGTGGATGAAATAGATCATTCCTTTCTACTCCTTCCACTCAGAACGCAAGGCTATGTTAAAACTAAATATACCAACTTTATTTGCTTAGTATGAATTGGAAGTAGCAGGGGTAATGGCGTTTTATACCTAAAATGACAATGACAATTATAATCAACATATCTTTTCACCAGTAAGTCATCTTAAGACCGTTCTTCTGGCGTTACATTCCAATCATCAACCGAACAGACACACAAACTTCTCAAGAATTCACCAACTATGATGAGATCATAGCATATACACTTTAGGATTCAAATGCAAATTATATGATTCTTTCCTCCGATAGGGGCTGCACGACCTTGACGTAGGTTCGGAGGCTTAACCTGAGTGTTCAGATAGGGCTGTAGTCTGGCGTAGGAAGTGGAACAAGTATGTGTGTGTGTGTGTGAATGAATGGGATCTCCGTAATAAGGAGCTCTCCGCTGAATGAAGGTAGCCCCTATAAACGGGCTAGACCTGGTGAATGGGAAGTATAGAAAGATGTGAAACGACCACGCTAGAACAGTTCCTGTCACCACATAGCTCTCTGGGGTATCTGCGGATATCTCCTAGGTATTCGAGAGACTAGGAATGGATGAACTGCTTCAGCGACCAAGAAGCAGCCTACCCAAGCTAAGGTGTGAGGTAATCGTGCCTATGGCTGTATGGCGACAGGGTTTTATGTGGTCGTGAACGATCCCCTTGAGGAACCAGGCAAACTTCATTGTATAAAGCCTTCCCCTGGTAATGCGGGGCTCTGCCAGGTGCGACCAACCTTTCCCTAGCTACTCGTGGGAACAACATGAATACAAAAAACAAAAAAATCCAAAACCAAATTTCGAGGCTGGACCAAAACGTTTACTTCAGTCTTAAGCCGCAGTTGAGGATGGACAGCAATGTTCACCTCTAATCTCGGCCCAACCGGAGGCTGGACCAAAACATTCACCTCAGCCTGAAGCCGAGCTGAGGATGAACAGCAATGTTCACCTCAAGTTTCGGTCCCAGCGGAGGATGGACAAGGACTACCTCAGAAAAATCGGCCTAAACGCCGCAGAATTTGCGGCGCAGAGGTAAAAAGAAGGAGGAAAGCTAGAGAGGCAATGGGAAAAGCACCCACGGGAGCAGCTCATATCACTCCAGCCCCTCCCAAAACAAAGGTGAAGGTGCCCACATCGGAGGCTGACAACGGTTCCACCCCCAAAAGAGGACAGGGACCAACAGCCCCCTATGTGAAGCGCCTTCATCCAAGTACCTCCATGGATGGCACTCTGAGGAAGCATAAGAAGTCACGAAGTGGTGGAAACGCCGCTACGCATTCACAAAGCTTCGCGGAAGCCGCCTTAAGACATCTTAAGGTCGCTATTATAGATAAGGTAAACCCGTATGGAAAGGTCACTGCTGACCGGGAAAACCTTATTAAATGCAGCCTGATCGAGAAATTGGACAGAACAACCTTGTCCACCTCCAGCAGCCAGGTAAAAGCACCCACGTTCAAATCGTGGACCTACTCGGGTGAGATCATCAGAGTAGTCTGATGACGATGGGGCGTTGGCATGGCTGGAAAAGGCTACAGCTGATCTCAAACCGTGGGAGGAAGCATCACTGGTTGTAGTCAGTCAGGATAAGCTCCCAAAACTTACCAAAGCCTCTCTATGGATCCCGGGGGATGCTAATCACACCTCTAATGACCCAGAAAGAGGGCTGCAGAGGTTAACGGCGCAAAATCCAGACATGGCAATTGCGAGATGGTGCAACTTCCACCATGAGGTAAAAAAGGATCCTAAAGGACACCTGTTTGTCTTCGGAATCGGAGACGACGAGATGGCTGTCCTTAGGAAAAGGGCAATGAGGCTGAGCTACACATTCACCTCATTGACTCTAAAAGCAAGCGCCAACAAAGTAAAGGACACCTCCTCGGAACCAGGAACCTCAGACACTCAGCAGCCGACGTCGGTTGTTGAGCCTGAGATACCCCTATTCCCACAGCAGGGAGAAGATCATCAGATGATGGTCGAGAACTCTGAAGAGGAGGCTCCGAAACGAGTAAGACTGCCCCCTCCTCAACCGAGGAGGAAATGGACACCTAAAATAACCAGAACATTACCTGAGCCATGGCCAAGGACGTCGGAAAAAATAAGGTTACTATTATTCAACGCAACCTCCAACACAAAAAGGTGGCAACGGCGACACTATGTCTCCGCCTGGATGTAACGGAGGATGCAATAGCACTAATCCAAGAACCTTGGATAATTAAGTCCAAAATAACTGGTCTTAGCAGTTTAAATGTTCAAATTCTCAGCATACCAAATCAACAACCGAGAACAGCAATATATGCTCCCAGAAAAATCAAAGCCTCGTCCATGGCGCATTTTTGCATCTCAGACGTAACTGCGGTTAAAGTGAAATGCCCATGGGGAGAGGGCAAAAATAGAGAGTTGATACTAGCATCGGTCTACCTACCCTCAGATGTAGCCACCCTACCACCAACAAAGGAAATGGAAGATCTGGTAGACCATTGTCTCAGTCAGAAGGTAGAACTTATTATCGGCTGCGATTCGAACTCTCACCATTTAGGCTGGGCAGCAGAGATAACAACGCTCGAGGTAAGTCTCTTTATGACTATATTATTAGAAAAGATTTGTATATCTTAAATAGAGGCATCGAACCTACCTTTATTAATGTTCGTAGCCAAACAGTTATAGACATCACGCTAGCAACATCTGAAATATCGAATAAAATTCAGAACTGGCAAGTATCGGACGATACCTCTATGTCTGACCACCGCTGGCTAACCTATAACATTGGTCTGGAAAAAAGCCTTATCAAATTGCGCGACCCTAGAGGACGGATGTAGAACTCTACAACCAACTCTTAGAAGATGCTCTGCGAATGAAAAGGCTTTAACTCCAGAGAATTGGAAAGGTATGCGCTATCTATCCAAAAGAAAATAAGCTATGCTTATAAAAATCCTGTTCAATAAGGATGGTCCAGGAAAGTCGCAACACCAACTCTTGGTGGTGCACTGAATTGGAACACCTTAGGAAGAAAACAAGAACAGCTTTTAATAGAGCAAAACGCACTAAACTCAAAGAGGATTGGGATTCTTACCAATCAAATCTCAGAGTTTACAAAACTCTGCAGACAAAGAGCTGCTTAGAAAACGTTCTGTGAGGAAATCGAAGAAGACTCCCCGCAGGCTTCCAGGCTACAAAAAGCGCTCTCAAAGGACCCACATCGGCATATTAACGAAGGAAGATGGAAACAAAACTTCCAACCTTTGCGAAAGTGCTGAGGTCCTGATGAAAACACACTTTCCCGGTTCTAGTGTCTCAACAGCACCAAACTGGATGGAAGAAGAAATCATACCGTCAATAAACGACTGGCATCTCTCCAGAACAATAATTAATGAGGAAAAGGTAAAATAGGACATATTGTGCTTCACCCCTTTCAAATCACCAGGGCCTGACGGCATATATCCAGCCCTAATAGGGTGGGGACTGGATATCGTTCTGCCGCACTTCGTGGAAATATTCAGAGCCTCGTTGGCTCTGAGATATATTCCTAGGAAGTGGAGAGAGGTATGTGGTCTTCATACCAAAACCAGGTAGGATGGACTACACCCTACCAAAGGCTTTACAACCAATTAGCCTAACATATTTTCTGTTGAAAATGATGGAAAGGCTATGCGAGAGGTACATAAGGGATGAAGTTCTAGTCCATTCACCCAAATCTGCATGCATATACTTCTGGAAGATCTACCGATTCTGCACTGCATCATGTAGTGGGAAGAAATGAAAGATCGCTGGATAATAAAGAATCCACCCTAGGCATGTTCATAGACATTGTGGAGCATTTGATAAAACCACATTCCCAACCATCACCCAACAGCTAAACGTCAGGAATGTTCCCCTGGCCGTAAGCGAATGGATATTCAGTATGCTCTCCAATAGAGCAATAAGCATAAATGTTGAAGATGTTTCTGTCAGAGGCATGGTTACGAGGGGGTGTCCACAGGGAGGGGTGCTATCACCACTCCTCTGGAACATAGTTCTAGATACCCTGGTTGACCAACTCAGCAGCAATGGTTTGTACACAATAGCCTATGTAGACGATATTGCTGTCCTGCAAAGCAGTTTTGAGAACACACTATGTGAGAGATTACAAGTTGCTCTCTGACTAATAGAAACATGGTGCAAGGAACACTCACTATCTATAAATCCTAAGAAACAGAGATGGTCCTCTTTACCAGAAAAAGAAGAATCACGGGCTTAATACCACCAAGGATTCTAAACTAGTCTAAATTTTTCTGACGAGGTGAAGTATACTTCATATAATTTACTACCGTTGCACGTCATCCGCGTCATAGTCCTTAAGGTCACATGATACCAACACCAAATATTTAGGCGGTAGGTGTGTTCTTTTTTAGAATCACTTTGCTGAGTACACTGGCATTACAGCCACTAGATATATTTTATCATATACGCATAGAAATCATATTTAAAGATTTCTATTAATGTTAACTTAAAGAAATACACAATATGTTTCATTTAATTTGTATAAATGCATTATAAAGCGTTTTTATGAAGAACCTTTGTTAGGAACTTTAATCGAAAGGTGATATTTTGGCATAAATTGGTAACACTTATTTGACAGTTTGCGGTGTTGACACTTTTTGTACTTTATTATTTTGAATTTTAAAGTGAATACCTCTTGTTTTATATTTTTACCTGTTTAACAAAATCTGTTCTTTTAGAACAAAATTAGTGTGTTTTATTTAAAAAATGTCACGTAAGAATTTAAATGGTCATTGTAAAGAGATGGTAATACTTTTGCAATAATTATGTGAGCTATTTGATTTAAAATGGAGTCAGGATTTTTTTATACTTTGGCAACTACGTCAACTTCGATCTCTGTCAATGATAATGACATGCAATGGTAAGTAAATTAGATGAAGTATACCTTGGTATTACCCTTGACAGGAAGTTAACATGGAACTCACACTTAGATGGTAGATCTAAAAGAGCATATATTACCTATGAGCAGTGTCGACAAACAGCTGGACGCACCTGGGGGCTTTCGCCCAGGGTGATCGCCTGAATCTACACTGCTGTCATTAGACCAATGCTAACTTACGGAGCTATTGCTTCGGTACCAAAAGTGCTACAAGCAACAGCGATAAACAAACTAAACCATATTCAACGGATGACTTGCATAAATATAACAGGTGTCATGAAAACAACACCAACTGCTGCAATGGGATCATTGACATCACGCCTCTAGATATATATGTCCAAGAGGTGACGCTAGTGACAATGATGTGACGCTAGTGACAATGATGTGACTGCGCTCAGCTGGTGCAAACCTTGATGTAGGAATGGGGCAATTGAGAACTCATTTCTGGTGGGGAGAGCTGGATGCGCTACCACTGCTACAGGCAGGCTGCAATTCAATTGAACCAAAGATTGTCTTTAACAAACCCTACAAAATCGAAACAAGAGAGTATAGGGAGACAAATGTGGCAAATGCTTATTGCATATACACCGATGACTCCAAAATGAAAGAAGGCTCAGAATGCGGGATATACTCCAGATCACTGAACCTAAGAATAAAGTGGGGTATGCGCAAAAATGCCAGTGTAGTTCAGACAGAACTGGCTGGTATCTCCATAGCCATGAAAGAGAGAACCCAAAAAGGTATAGCAGGGAAAACTATAATGATCTGCACATATAGCAGACAAGCGCTACTAATCTTGAATAGACCACATGTCACATCAAGGTTAGTAATGGAGTGTCACAAATCACTAACTTAGGCTTCAGATGGTAATACCATCATCCTGAGGTAGGTTAAAGGACACAATAGGAATAAAGGCAATTGCATTGCTGACCAATTGGCTAGGAAGGCAGCAAACCGTAAAAAGATGGGAAGAAGGCCAAGGATGTAAACTTGACAAGGTAACACTAAGTAACCTTGAAGAGTCTGCATCAAAGAAGTACTAGGGAATGACCAGGAAAAACCTATGCTTGACGGTTGGTTTTTTAGCTGGTCATTGTCAACTAAGCAAACATCTCCACATAGTGGCTAGCAGACACACCTCTATGTAGAAAGTGTGAACAAGAAGACTAAACTGTAGAGCATGTCCTATGTGAATGCCCGGAAAGGTTCAATATTTGGAAAGAAACTGGAACTCTGTTTATTGACAGCTGCATGTATCCCTCAACTCCAAAAAAAATCAGAACTCTGAATACAGAGCACAGAACCCCTACCTCTATCTGTCTGAGCGAGAGCTTAGGCTTTTAATATAATTAAATGTGAAGACCACACAGAAGAAAGGCGAAATGTCACAAAGAGGTTAATTCGAGAAAATTGAATTTTTAACTTTCAAACCCTAAACATCATCTTACAATTAAATATTTTGCGTACTTCTTTATTTAAGTGGTCTTCATAGTTATTTTGTAACGTATTATTTAACCAATGGAATTTAAAATAAAACACAAAACTTAGAAACATTGCTTTATGTAAACACAAGTCACTACAAACACGGGAAAAAAGCGAAATATATGACAATTTTTTTTCTGTTCTTTATTTGTATAGCTTTTCTTATTTTCTCCTCATTTTGTTTACGTTTTTGTTGTAAGGTAAGCAAGCCTCTATAGAACGATCTAGCCCTTTCAGATGTGCAAAACTGACTAAAGTGGACCAGATCGTTAAATTTTTCCTTAGAAATTTTCCTTAGCTCTAAAAAACATCTCTATGAAAAAAGAGAAAAGGAAGGCAATTTTTAAAACAAATTCACCTGTATTGGTGGCAAAATAAACTGGCTCTCGGGTAGTTACACCTCATTGGAGTTTGTAAATGGTTTGCGTATAATTGACGTCTCCCATTGTCCATTATAGGAATCTTGGTGTTTGAAAAGGCGTGGACGATCTTTCAATATTTCGAGTTCTCTGATTGGTTTTGATTTATATGTTGGTTTAGTTACGTAAATTTGGTCCAAGAATAGTTACCAGTTTCTTATAAGTGATTGATCGACCTCGATGACATCGAACGGATTTGGTTTTACTCGACATGATCTAATTTCCGTGTACCAATCCTCAGGAAGTTCAGCCATAATTTTTTGGTTTATCACGAAGATAACGGAAAACAGTGAAGTTTTTATTTTATCCCGCCACATGAATCACAGAATATGGGGAGGTGACGAACTGATAGATCAAGCTGAGTAAAGATAAAATGGTGCAGAAATGACACTACTTCGTTTGAACCTTTGCCTCCTAGGTTTCTGGAAAACAATAAAATGTAGCATTTTCTGTTGACAATACATTGTTAAGATGAGCGTCAGTTGTCTCTTATGGTAGACGTCGTTGGTTGGAATATTTGGAGTGGATAATTTTTTTTTCAAAATCCATAGCGACTGCTTCACAGTTAACATTCTGCATTATTGCTTTCCTTGCCTTTCTCTTTATTTCATAAAATGCTTCCGCTTTGAATTTGTGTAGGTATTTGAGTTTGCCAAAGTTATTCGTTTTATCTCAACTTCTACTTTTTGTTTTTTAGGGGCATCATTTGTTTCATTCAGTATATTGTGAATGACCTTAAGGTCAGCCAAGAAATGATCGCAAGCACTACACGTTTCCTCCGCGGATAGCCGAAGCTAATGTTAAAATGCTTATTAAAGATTTGTCGATGTTTCGTAAGACACAGAAGCGCCCTTATCGGATTTGTACATAGTGTACATTTTCTTAATATTTAAGTCATCCGGAAAGGAAGAATACGTTGCGTCATGCAATCTTGATGTAGCTTCATCTCGGGCTCTTCTTTGCTTTACGGGCATTAACGTTATTAGGCCTGCCAAGTAAATATTTTGTTTATCATGCCCCATACGGTTAAAATTGTTTATAATGTTTGATCGGTTTTGTTGATCTACTGTTTTAAAACACTTAAGTGTCTTACATTGACAATCGTCACCTGTTTCATGGCTCTGTTGTCTTAACCGCTTCATTACTTCATTTATTCGACCTGTAATTTTCCTTTTTCTATTGTTTTTTTCGCGACACATATCATCTCTTTCACTATCCGTCAATTTCGAGCACAATAACACGCACTTTATTTAATGAAGGCTAATCGAAAACTAAACGTTTTTAGTAAACAAAATGCGGCGTGTACTCCCCCGACGTCCCGACAAGCACTGACATTCCACCTTTCTCGGATTTACGCAAGGACCATTCGCCTTTCTTCCCTGTACGAAGAATTTTATAAAGTGTTTTAAGCTATGAGGATTGGTCTTTTTAACATGTTTGAATGACTCACATAAAACTACTACTAAAAACCTACATATTGCTGCTCTGAACAAAAAATAATAAAAAATTGACATTTCGCCTTTCTTCTGTGTGGTCTTCATATATATTAAATATAATAATCCAAATATATTATAAAGATTTATAAAATTTTAAATTTAAACTATTTATATTATACTGAAATAATCTAATTAATTAATACACTGACACCACCTATTTACAGATCTACAGTAGGTGAGTTATTGTGGTAGCTTTATTACTGCATTGTTGCAAGTACACAATTTTTTAAATATATGTTAATTGAATTTTTAACCTGTTAAGCTTTTGTATGAGATTTTATTTGTAAATGAAATTTATAGAAAAGGAATAGGATTTTACAGTGGTCATAAATTTGCAAAAAAGTTTTGTTAAAAAAATGGGAGTTTTCTAATTCTTGAATAAATGCTTATTGTTTCATTGTAGTAACTTTTTTAATGCTTAATTTCACCCATTCATCCCTCCCTAGGATGGGTCTCAGTGCTAGTATCACATAATCCCCCTTTCCACTCAAGTATTCCACAATTATTAATTTCTTACCTTTTTTTGATTTATCCCTTATTGTTGATTTAGATGTTCTCTTAAGTTTTGACTTGTGTTTACTTCTACCTCTTTCTTCAGAAGAAGTTGAGCTACTTCTTTTACCCTTTATCTTTTTCAATTTTCTTCTCCTTGCTTCAGCAGAGCTGGAGCTTGTGCTACTTGAATCTTCACTTGAAGTTGAAGAATCTGTAGTAGTACTGGTAGTATCAGTACTAGGACTGCTTTCTTTCTATAAAAAAGATAAAAATATTAATTTTTCCTTTAAATAGTTTTTTACTTTTCCTACCTTCTTTTCTTTTTTCTTGGCTTTGCTCTCCATCTTCATTTGTAGTTCAAGTTCCCTCTGGAGCTCTTGTCTTTTTCTCTCTAGATCATCTGGATCTGCATCTTCCAGTTCGTCTGGGTCCCACTGATCCCACTCTTCATGTTGTGATCTTTTATGTCCATCTTTTACATGTCTTCTCTGTGTTTTGGCTGCTCGCTGCTTTGATGGACTTATAAGAGTGTGAGTGCTGGAATATTTACAGCCTTTGCCATATGGGCAAGAGCCACTCTGTGCCCAGGGGTGGCAATATTCTTTTCCTATAGAAGAAATACAAATATAATATTATGGTCTATAGTACATAAAAGTCTTGGAGAGAAATCAGTGTTTTATTAAGTTAATTTAGCATTAAATGGTTGTTATTATTATTCATATGATATAAAAGCTAGTAAATAAATAAAATAAAAACCTGTAGTTGTTGCCTTGGTCCCAAGTCTTTCAAATACACTAGGTCTTGTCTTCAGGACGCCGCTTTTGCCTTTTGTACTCAAATTCACCGTTATCTTACGTTTGATTTTAGACATTTTCTTTACATATAAATATAACAAACGTCCTTAGAGCGCTTGTAGCTACCATATTTACAAGCGTTTCACTTTTCTATCCACTTTTTGGATTTGGAAACACTTTGGAAATAGATCTTTACAAAAATCTCCAAAACTTGACAATCGGTGACAGTTGACATCAAAATTAAGTAGTGCCTTTATTAGAGGTATATTATTCTATATCAGCTATAAAATGTTAATTAATATACTATAGTCTTAGTTCATCATTACATACACTTTTAAATATTTAAAAAAATGTAGCAATTTAGAATTATTTTATTACTTTATTATTTTACCTCTTCTATGAGATTTAATCGATACTCGATACTGTGCTTTCTTTCGATTCAATCGGAATCGGAAATCGGAATTTCCAGAATGTCAGGATGCGACGGCACGCGACGCGGCGGCCCACAATGCTCATGCGTCGAATGTCAAATTATAATCGCTCCTTGTTTAACACGTTAACTGACAATCAGCGTTATTCCATAACGTTCCTCAGATCGAATCGAAATGCTCCGGTCGAATCGAAATCTTTGTAAATCGTAATGTTTCACATCGACCACTACTTGAATCGGAATTCTATAACC